AATAATGAACAAAATCAAAAAAAATTTATAAAAATGTGTTTTCTTATTATATTTGTAAAGAAGAATTTTATATTAATTAGACATAAATCTGTGAAAGATGTGAATTAAAAACTAAACAGATTTGAATTTTAACAATTACCTTTTCCAAAAAATAATTTTTAATGCAATTAGCCAATCAACAAATATTTGATGGAGACACTTTCTTGATTCTCCTGAAATCTGTTTAAACTGGAGATTCCCCTCAAATTACTTCAGTAACCAGGACATATTAGAAGCAATAATAATTGATTTATAATCCAACTACTAAATTTTCAAATCATCAGCTTAATCAGTAGAAAGAATGCTGAACAATTCTTGACTTTCATGATAATTCTCTGGTCCAGTCAACGTTTTAAAGCATAAAAGAATATAAAAAAATTGTTTTATTTAAATATGATCCATTGTATAGATTGCAACCAACAATAATTTTAAGGTTGGCTTAATATTTTACTTACCACTATGAGCTTACATATACATGCAAACATTAACTTCACTCAGTTATGTACGGCTAGGATGAAATGAAAATACACTTGCTTCTTTGACCATCACATGACTGATTTATTAAGTAATTGTAGTATTATTACTTACAAATCATAGAGAATGGCAACACATTTACAATGAAATTAACTTTTGAAATTACATGTTAATTCATGTAAATAAATTATTTTGTTCATATGATTTAATAAGGCTTTTTATGTTTGTATTCTGTTAATTCACAACTTTTTCAAATGTATAAAAGTTTAAACAGGTGACCAATGTCATTAGAGTTCACTTTCCAATAAATATGAATAATAAATTTATATTAATATTGAATATTAATTCAGCCACTTGAAGTTTTATTCCTGTAAAATAGCTTTATAGCTGCAAATTTGCAGCAGTTTTAATAACTACAGTGACAATGGCTCACTACTTGGTTTTGAGCACACCTACCTGCTAGAGTGGTAAGCCAATCCCTGTTGTAGATACCTGCTATAGCACATTTATGTTTGTTCAACATTAGATCCCACCTGTGTTTTATATGCTGAGTGGATTTTAGTTATAATTTCTAGGAATGAGCGCATAATTTGAAGTGATCACCAATTTGAACAAGACCATTGTGCTGAAACTCTCAGTCACAATGACTTGTAACTTTGTGCTAGTACAACTATTGATGGCTAACAAACAATTCCATCCAGCCAATTTCAATCACAAATCTTGTATCAACATGGTAAGATTTTCAGGCTGATACAATCAAGAAGTTTGACAAATTGACTACAGTGCAATTTGAAACTGGCTCTCATGGTCAGAAAGGAAACATTCTAACCATTTTAGCCATTAGTAATATTTTATTAGTAACTTAGGTGAATGAATTTCACTCCAGTAAATGTCATAAAGTAATAATACTGGCATATCATTACCACTAAGTCAGAGTATTCCAACAGAACTTTACAATTGCCACAAGGCTTTGTTGGTTTGAGATCAGTCTGCCAAATAAAAAATGCAGCCTCATCATAGATTTTTCCCTTGTATTCACAACTGACCAGTCAATGCCCATGAAACCAGAAATGAAATGTTATTTCAATTATATGAAATTCGAAATAACATCAGATGATAATGTCAAGCTGCTATGAATAGAAACTTCAGCTGGAAAGTCAAGACAACATTTAACATTATCCAATCTTAAACAAAAGTATCTTGCGTGCTTTTTATTGGTATTTTCTATCCCACTAAAATTGATTCAACAAATATTTTTTCTGATAAATGAACATATGCTGTAGTTTAAAAGTAGCCAAAAAAGAATAAAACAAAAAATTGAGAAGAGAGAATTCTTTGTATTCTTAACTTTGCTTTATATAAAGACTAAATGGTGTTCTCATTGTAAAGATACAAGTTTTAAATAAATTTTTATTTATCACTTATTTCCTAAAAATCATCATCATTGTAATAAGTCAATGATGAATGGACAAAATTTAGTGAAAAGAAGAGACTTTAGTAATTAATTTGACATGAATATATACAAGTATAGTTATATTTGATTTATTGAGGGAGTTACCAAGCCATTCAAAATTAAAGAATAGATTTTAAAACCTAAAATATGACATCTTTTTGTATATTTTAATAAAATCTGCACATAAGCTTACAACATATTATGCACCACTAAAACTAGGGATCAATAAACATGTGTTTCAAACTTCTAAGTCAGAATAAAATAAATTAAATCCATGGTTATATAAAACAAAGAAAAAATCTTTTTAATCACTTATTTCAAATCATATTAATTATTTACTATTATGAATAATTAATCTCTTATACAATAGTTAGCAAAATATGAACTAATAAGAATGATCAAATTTTTTTCTCTAATGTCTGAATTAAAATGTGGGCTTCTATCAACAAAATTGATTATAAAATGATCAATTAAGACTGACATACATGTAAATTTAGCTTGCTTCATCTTTTAAAAATATCTTCTCATATAAAAATATATGGCGTCAAATGTTGAAATTATCAGATAAAAGCAGAATATCCTTCAACCGGGAGGCATTTGTAAAAATTAACTTCATAAATATCTTTCATTAACTGCATTACATCATTTGTTAGTCTTTGTGATTAGCAACCATTTTAGTTTTAATATCTTTTTAAATAAAATTTCATTTTTTGAAGGTATAGTAGTACATATTTATTGTATATATTTCCATACTTAGATATATTAGACTTTTCTTGTTTAAATGCTATTATTCTTTCAAGGCATAAGTGATCATGACTCTCCACAGATTTATTTTGTCTATCAATTACTTCTTGGAAAAGGATAATGGAGTCATTGCCTTTTAAAAGTAGTTAAGTAGTCAAGGCTAGAGAATTCAGTTTACTCTGTTATTTAACCTATAGCTCTTAGAAAGGAAATGAATCAATGCCTTTCCCAAAGGCATTTGTGTGAATTGAATGCAACAGACTTGAACTTGGCTTGACAATTCCACCCTCCATACTGATAACTGTTACACTATCCACACATCCCCATAGATATATTAGATACATAAACAAAACATTTATTTTATACATAATAATTTTAAAGAATAAATAATACAAAACTTATCTAATAATAATAACATATAGTTGGATGGCTGACACAACATGGCAATCTAGATTTGGCATGTAGGCGTTACTTTGATGACCCTTATTTTAAAATTAGTTATATTTTTTTCATTTTATATCTAATTATTTTTTTCATGCTTATAACAATCTATGCAGTTATAATATTTGTTTAGTACATTGAATTCTTAACATACATTACTTCAGCAGTGATAGACAAAGAATGTTTCTTCCCACTACAACATAAACTCCTTCCAACACTACTTCTTTCTACCTTCAACAACAGTTATATTCTCTATAAGGAATGCAAGTAGTTTATTCTTAGAGTTGATGAAATGATTTTAACATGGAAAGGCAATATTTCCTTAGCAAATCATTTTACTTTTAAAGACAAATCAATAAAATTCAAAACTATACAATATGAAATTCAACATTTCTCGTTTAACATGAGAAGCATCATCCATGATACAACTTGGAATTCTTTACAAGACCAAAGTGAAAATTAATTTTGAAATTAACTTTTAATGGCTGGCCAAAGGATGATGAGGGACAAAAAATAGAAGCACTGCAATCTTCTCAATTAAAAGTTGATTCCTTTTCCTATATTTTCCTTATTTGTTGTATCTCTATTGAAAAATTGGTCTTAACAGAAACCACACTAATCCAAAATCTCCAAATAAGTTTCTTACTTTTTACAATGTCACTGGATACAACAAGAAATCTTAATATAGATAAGTGAATTTAGTTTATTACTGATGCCATTAATAGAGTTCAAATCTAAAATAATTCTATCAGATAATCTGTCAGATAATCCACCAATTAATTTAATTCTGTCAGCATTTATGGATGTGTCTTGCTAATCTATTTCATAAAAATACAAAAATTTTAAAGTTTCTCATCAATTTTCTTGAAAATTGGATCATCAGACTCCCAATAAATTACCCATCATCATAGGTTTTACTTAATTCAATACTGATTAAGACAAATCACTTACCAAACAACTGAGTGAAGTGCAGATAACAATGTTGCAGTCATTTTAATCAGAATATTAAAATCCTGAATTCAAATTGAAATATAAATTGAGAATCAAATAAATTGAAATTCAGTTATCAAAGAAAACAACAATGATTACTTCTAATGTTTTCACATTGTGTAAAAAAAGAAGTCATTAGTTATAACATTGCAACAAATTCAAAAACAGAATTTATATATTGCATCATGTAAATATTACTGACAATATATAACATGCAGTATGCAATAACCATGATGATCTCAGAAAGAGATGGAAAGTACTTGGGAAATAAAAATGATTCTCATTGTTACAGTGCATTACTTGCCTTATTTAATTGTAATATATGGAAAAATATTCATGAATATGAAATGATTATGATAAAAATAAGCAGACAATATTTGTAATTTATTCATTCAGAAATGCCTAATAATATACTTATATACATTTGACTTTTAACTTTCATTCTATACAGTAAATATTGAGATATGCTTCAGTTGACATTTTCAGAATGATAAATGTTAAAGGACTATTTTAGTTTTTAAATTAGTGTAAGAAACTAATTATTTAAAAGAAAAATAATCCTGTATCATCTATCAGTCATTTTATATTAACATGCATTAGTGCAATTTAAAAAAAATATGACCAAATATTAGTGATCACTTTATATTTTTTTATGAAATTGATTGTTGTTAAACCCTACATGTATTTTTATACAACTGCATAAGCAAATACAAGAAACTGTATTTTTTTTTCCTGATCAACCATTTTTTTCACATAGAACAGACAAGGATATTTCAAATAAGAATGTATAAAAGAGAAAACAAGAAATGACAGTTGAAAAAGCTACTGCTGCTCCTGCTGTATGTTTTGGTATACTCACCCTGCCAAGACAATGAAACAATCCAAGCGATTCCAGGACTCGGCTAGGTATGTTAATTTTCCAAAAAGTCCCATGGCAATCATCTTGATTATCATTTCCAGAGCAAAAAACATAAAGATAAAATGGTCACAAATTTCTAGCATTTTGCATCTTGTTGAGTTGCATACTTGATCCAAACATGGCCGATACATTCCCAGTGTAATACAGTTCATCATGATCACTCCCATGCTGACACGTTCAAACCAGGTGAAGAGGAGTTAAGGAAAAACAATTGACAAATGAAGAAAAGAAAAAAATTTCAGAAAGTTTTGAAAATCATACAAAAATTTCAAATTCTGGCAAATGAAATATGACAAACAAGATTAGTGTGATATCAATAGAAACCAAAATAAAACGGTACACACACATATTGCAGTAAAATAGTATTTATAACTCAAGAACTGAAGTCAGAGAAAACTTGCATAAATTATTTTTCCATTAAAGCACTTGCATATTAAACAACAAAAACAAGCAACAACAAAACATTTACACTATTTACATAGGTAGATTAAGAATGGCACATTGAATTCAAACAAAGACACATGGCTCAGTGGATAAAAGTGTTGATTGAAGTAATCCAGTGACTTGGCCCCAAGAGTTTTGAGTTCAATACCTGGCCACAGCAGAGGTGAACAAAAACTTGAAGAGTTGAGTTACTAAAAGGAAATAACTGTAACTGAGATACCCAGAAAAGGCATGGCACATGGAACTAGGACAATTTACCCCAGTGGATGAAAGGGCTTGGTTTGAAATTCCTATGTATATCACATGAAGAAGTGCAGAGCATACAACAACCAAAACATTTTCAATATGACAATGAAGATAAGGATGACAGTCTGAACCATGTAAATAGTTACAATACATAAATACAGACAGAAATAAACAGTACTGATAAGTATAATGAAATTAGTCATTTTTTGAAGGCAACAAAACCTGCAGTTTAAGATCTGGTATATATCAATTCATAGTGAATCAATTAAACTTAAAGATTTTAACCTCATTTTTAAATTGAAAAAGAAGAAAAATTATTTTCTTTATTATTTATTGCATATATATAAACATTTATAGTTAAAAAGTATATTTTGTTTATTTGCCTCATATTTTAAATAAAATAATATCATATTAATTAATGGAATGTTAGTCATTTATTTTATTGATAAATTCAAACATTGTATATTAGACTTTCCAAAATGTTGATATCATATTTTGAAGATATCATATATACAAACAACAAGAAGGAAATGAACTGCAATTGTTATATTTAAAAAAAAAAAAAAAAAAACAAATCAATAAAACTGTTTTCTCTGTTATTCTAAGCAGTTTCATTTTTCAGCAAAAATAATGATTTTATTGATTGCATTTAAATTGTATACTGATTAATTTGCTTGACTTAAGACATAATGTAAAGCATGAAAATCAATTTGACCTTAGGTATAATCACTTTGTCACGATGACTTGAAAACTACTGTCTTTTCAGAAATTACATGAAATAAAATCATTGAAAAAAAATAAAATTAGTAAAAATCAAGGCCAAACATTGTGTGTGTAAATATATATATATATATATATATATATATATATATATATATATATATATATATATATACATACATACATACACACACACACATGTTTAAATCATTTCTCCTGCCAACATTCCTTAAATACTGTATAAACTATTTTAAATAATAAAACTTAAACTTTGAAGTAAAATTTTGCTTACAATTATGTTAAACTTGATAAAATGCAATATTCTTAGAACAAAAATATTTTATTATTCTTATTAACAAATATAATATCAAGTTTTGCTTTAGTATAAAACTTTGTTTAAAATCTGCAAGGTATTTTTTTATAAGAATCATTTGGTTATACAGGGTGCGATGGGTAAATTGTCGCTATTTTATATTTGGTGCATGTGTGTTGTTTGTTTTTGTTGACTGCACAGTATAGTAGGATAAGTAGGGCACCGTCTGTGAGAAAAAAATGCACTATGACACAATTCACTCTGCCAGAAATTTGAAAATGGCATGCTGTACTGCTGACATTCATACTGGAAGTTCCAATACAAACATTTCAGAGTGTTTGGGTGTCAATCTGAAGACAGTGCAGAGGATTTAGAAAGAGTTGGATGAGTCTAATGGTGATTACAAAGGTATGGCAGCTCAGAAAACTCACTTTGATCATTCTGGTAAGAACTCCCGAATTTGTCGGTGAGGGCCTCAAACTCAACACAGAGGCCTATATCAAGTGCCTTGAGAAGGTAGAGCTGCCCTAGGTCAAGAGGGTGGCTGCTGGAAGACCATATGTCTGGCAGCAGAGTTCTGCACCATACCACTGAAGCAGGAGGACCCAGTCATGGATGTCATACAATTTCTGTGACCTCTTACATCTGGACACCTATCTCCTTAGACTGCAACTCCCTTGATTATTATGTGTGGGGTGCAATTGAGTGAGAGACCAACAAAACTTCTTGTATGACCAAAGATGAACTGAAGGCAAGGATTATGGCAGCATTTACCAAATTAAACAAGGAGACCATTCAGAAGAGTTGCAGGAGATTCCGAAGTTGTCTTGGAGGCTGTGTTTGAAGCCAATGGCGATTTTATTGAATAAATTTAGTCTTTAATATTTCAATATAATTTTGTGTAATTTTGGTAAATATATCTGTTAAAATGAGATGTCAGTGTTATTTTCATTTTTGCATAATTTAGACGACAATTTATCCATCGCACCCTGTATATTCAATTTGAAAACAAATGTCTTTAATTTAGGTAAGAATATTTTTAAATTTCTTATTAGTATATCTTCATTTTTGGGATGATGTAAACTTATAAAAATCTTATTTTGTGTCTAACATTCATCGTAATATCTTTTTTCTCTGGTTTAATTAATTCCTTTAGGAATTTTGCCCAATTATTAGACATAATTTCCTTACGTAATTATCATCAACAAAATTTAAAAAGTAACTTACATCTAAAAATAATTTTTTAAACAGTGTTATTGGGTTGTATATAAAAATGGTTATAGAATTTACAAGAAATTTGATACTAAAACTGCTAATATAATATAATACTATATATAATAATATACTGAAGATAAAAGTAAAGACTTTTTTTTAACTCCAACAAAAGTATCCAAGTAACATTTTTAAAATCTTAGGAAATCTCATTTAACAACATAATACTGAATCACTGTCTGAATTTCTGGAATGAAGAGTTATTATTTACACTATTTACATTTGGACCATTGTCCTTATCTTTGTTGTCGTTATCACATTTTGACCTCTGACCTTTATCTGGGTAACCTATAGAGAGTTCCAACCTGAACCTTTTATTTAATCTATAGTGGGTAGACTGTTCTCATTCCACTGCCAATGGATATCTCATCTAGATTTTATTTCTGTATGTTTCCTGGATCAATATACACCTGATGAAGATTGGAGGACACAATGGCCAAAACATTGTGATAGCAACAACAAAGATGAGGATAACAGTTAAAATGTAAGTAGTGAAACTAATACTTAATCACTATCAGTCTATTAAATTTGTATCTCTCTTAACAAAAGTATAAATACTACATATGTTGTTACAGGTGTTTATTTTTCTTTTGATTATTGGTAATACTTATCAAAGATTATGCATATATGGCCTGGCAACAATTGTGTTATGTTTAAACCTAGCAGTAATGTTTTTTTTTTTAAATAGTCGCTTAAAGTGAACTGTTCAAAAGGTCTACAAAATTAATATTTTTAAATTACATCTATTTTTATACATTTTAGCAGATATTAAACATGGCTAAAAATTTAAGAATGTCAATTAAATCTTAAAATAATACATGGTACTTGAAATAGAAAAAGAAAAACTTTGACATGAAAATTGACTATCAATTAACATTTTAAATGTCAAAAAATGCTTCAATGTAAATAATTTAAAATTTCTGAAAATTAATAGTTTTAAGCACTGAATTTATCTTTGATAAATTTATCATCTATTTTAGAACAAATTAGATTTATGTATCAATTATTATTAGACAAAAGTAGTATTTCATGTCAAACATACAAGTTATAAATCATAATGATAATAAAATAAAAGATAACTTGTGGAATGTTACTTTGAGAGATACTTTGAAACTGTTGTTTGTAAACGTTACAAGGCAGCATTCTTTTAACATTGAGCATATTGCTAAAGACATTATTATTGTTCATCTTTTCCATTCCAATCATAGGTTTTGCTTCAAGCCTTAATCTAATTACAAACATTTGCTTCCTTCAATCTTGTCTAGAAGATTGCAATTCCAAACTTCCTAGATGGATTTGCTCCAAGTAATTGGAATAAAGATTGTAATCAATTCCCTTAAATAATGCTTTTAGGTTCTGTAGGCTATTTAGGGATTTTACAAGCACTATTAATGAAAAATCATTTATACATAAAATAAACTCACTACATGCATAAAGATAAAGATAGTATTAAATTATGCAATGTTTTTTTAAAAAAGTTTTGACACAAAATTTGTAAGTTGTATTTTGAAAATCAGGAAAAAAAGATTGTCAGAAATTGGGAATTAATGCAAATGTTACTGAAAGAATAAGACTGTTTAATATCTGTTTAATTCTGCTTGTATCTCTCCCTCTTTGTCTCTATCTGTCTTTCAATTTATCAGTGCATGGTGAAAATCTCTTGTCCTAATGAAAAATGAGTTACAAAAAAAAATAAAAATAGAAAAAATTCTGATGTTTAGTTATTTACTTAGATTCTTGGAAGTGGGCTAGCCCTCAAACTTTTTAGCTCCCCATCATATCTAGCCATATAATGTGGTTCCGACATTATGAAATGAAATCTGTGTTTTAATTAATGCAATAAATTAATTTCTGTGCTTTCCTGAAATGATAGCATTAAATTTTCATATTACAAATCTTTAACAAAAGACCTGAAGAGAATTGACTGAGAATTCAAATGAAAGTTGTAATCAAGAAATATTTTACTGTTATATCTTTTACAAAAAACAACCTGGTATTATTTTCTTTTGTAAATTTTTATTACTATTA